TGAGCTACAGGCGCCGAGCCATCATTGGAGCATTTTAAGATTTCCAGCAGTCTTCATGAGATAGGTGTAATCTTATCCCCATTTTATAGATGAAGAAACTGATGTCCAGAGAGGTGAAATACCTCTCCCATGGTCATACAACTACCAGTCAGCAAAGTCAGGAACCAAGAACTCTGGCTCCAGAGCCCATGCTCTGAACCATGTCATTATTTAGCCACCAACACACCATGGCTTGAAGGCTCTGGCCTGCAGATGCTGAGGAACTCCCAGAGAGCCATCACAGTCCAGGTGGGGAACCTGACAACTGGGTGTGATCCACTCATAAAGGGCCTACGGACCCCCTGCAAAACCCCAGCCCTGGCGGCCCCTCCCAAGCAGGGGTTCCTATGGTCCCTCCCTTGTCCCCTCACCTTTCTGGTCATCATGCTGTCCTGCCTCCACCTTGTTCCCTCTTGATGCTTCCAGCATCTCCTGCCAAGCCCCAGCCCCCTGCCCTGCAGGGCCTGGGAAAGAGTCAGGTGACCGCTTGGGGGCTGGGCTGCCCACTGCTTCCTGGACCTCAGGGCTGCCTGCCCTCTTGAGGGCCCGGAGCCGGGTAGCTGGGCTCTCCTCATCCACAGGGCAGCCACCTGGACATCCAAACTGCTCAGAGTGTCGCGTGAGCCATGTCTTCTTCAGCTTGGTGTGGTGGCTTGGGGGGCAGGCCCTGAGATCCGTGGCCTTGCTCACTTCCTCGCTGGATTCACTGGACCCGCTGGTACCCATCTCCAGGCTCTCCTGGCATTTCCCATAAGGGCCAAGACCCCCATCCCTAGTGGGTGGGTGGGATGAACAACAGGCCCTGGGGGTGGTAGGAGGCATAGGAGAGGAGCCTTGTGGTGTGGCAGATGGCCCCAGCTGGTACCCAAGGCTCCCATTGCCTGGTCCAGCCCAGACATTGCCAAGAGTATGGACAAGGCCTGGGGGACAAGTGGGCCAGGGCGTCCAGGGAACAGTGCCTGGATGTCCCAGGAAAAATGGGCAAAGATTCTGCTGCCTGACAGCTCCTGTCTCTCCATCCCTCTGGTGGAATGATGGGTGCTCAGCTTCCCTGGCTCTCTGGAGAGGCCGGCCAGGGGCTAAGCCCAGCAGCCCAGCTTCCGCAGCTGCCAAGGGCTCCTTTGCCTGCCCCAAAATGCTCGGATCCTTGCAGAAGCCCTAAAGAGAGGAGAAAGGGTTAAGCTAGTGCTTGCCTTTGGTCCCCAGGGCCTAAAAGGATGGACAGAACATGAAAATACTGAAGAGCTCACATCCTGGTTAACAAATGGTACTGCTCTGGGTGCCTCCCCCACTGCCCTGGCTGCCCCCAGACACTCCCTGGTATTCTCAGACTTCCTCACAATCTAGCACCTAAAAGGCCTGGCACAGCCAAAGGGCATCCAGGATCTACTTAAATTGTTTGTTATGTCCTGTACCATACTGTTTTTTAACTACAGTAGAACCTCCATAGTTCACCACCTCCCTACATGGACCACCTCCTTAAGGTGGCCTAATTTTCATAGACGAGACACATACACACGTACATGTCAGTACAATAGCCCTAGTTCTGTGTGTTGATCACTTCTGTATGTTGACCAATTTGTTACAATCCCTTGGCTGGTCAACTTACAGAAGTTCTACTGTATTTTAAAATCTCATCCTTGGGAACAGGGGTTACCTGTAGGGCAGGTGCCCTAAACACAGGTCATGGGGTCGCTCACAAGTCCGGTTCCCGGATAGAGGGGCTTTGCTTGGCCACCTTCTCCCCCACCTGGGCCAACAGATTACCATTTCTAAGAAGACATGTTCTGGCCTCACCAAGCCAGGAATTTGGTAGCAAGTCATGGGGTAGGAAAGAAAGCAAGAGCCCAAAAGTGGAGGGTACTGAACTGGGAAGGCAAAAAGCCTGGCCCTGGCCCTGGCCCTGACTTCTCCACCCAGGACAAAGCTACACATTCTAGGGCCAGAGTTCCCAAGGCTTTGCCCTGCGTGGGCAACAGCAACGGCCAGAGCATGGGCTAGGTCTGGAGAGATGGAGCTGCCATAGGACAGATTGCTTGGAGTTGATTTGGGGCTGGGGAGTTGGCAGGGGCCCCCCCACCTGGGTGTTGCCTTGGCTTTCATCAGAATGGAAGGGCAGAGTGGTGCTGTCCCAGTAGGGCATCTCCAGGACCACTAAGCTACCTTGCATGTCCTGAGTCCTAGATACCTATCTGCCCCAGCACTCACCTTGCTGCCTAAACTGAAGGCAGAGGGCACTTTGGGCTGGCCCCCAGAGTATACCCAGGGGTGCGGGGCCAAGGGCCAGTCACATGGTCGCTCTGGGGGCAGGCCAGACACTAGGTAGGGTGGGAAGCAGGTAGGCACCCAGAAGGGAGCTTGCTCCAGGATCTTGGTCTCCAGAAGGAAAGGGCATTGTAAAGGCCGGAAGGCCACAGGGTCACTCTTGGGATGGCCACCACTATGCTCAGGAATCAGGGGGCTGTAGTGAGGTGGGCACGCTGGCCCGCAGAATGCCAGTGGATGGGTACGCATGGCCTCCTTCCAATGCAGTCCCTCTTTACTGCTCAGCCAGCTGGCCTTCCTCTCCCCATTCTGGGGACCCTCACCCTCCACAAGTGGGAGCGTGTCCTTTGGGCCCTGGGGGAAACCAGGGGGAAGCCAGGAGTCTGGGGTGCTCAGGATGCCCCTCCAGAAGGGAGCAGGCTCTCCCAGGCACAGTGCCCCACGACGCAGGCTATCTCGAGGTGGGGTCCCTGGCTCCTGTCCCACGATGCTGTTCTCAGGGGCCGTCTTCTCCCAGATTGGAGTGTCCTTCAGGAAGCTGGGCGTACTCTCCATCACTCTCCTGCCCTCATGGGGCTCTCCCAGAGGGGTCCCTGGAGTACAACCATCAAAGCTTGAGCACATGCCCCAAGCACCTTACCACCTGGCACAGAGGGCACCGCCCTGGCAGCACCAAGGCAGCTCAAACCAGTAAAGCAAGTACCAACCCACAGCCAGGTGATATGCTGCCCAGCCACATGGAGCCAGAAGGATCCTGCCCAGGGTAGGATGCTCCAGTGTAGGGACCTCACCCTTTCCCCTAATTCCTGGGACTTGATAGCCCACCTGGGCCAACAGATTACCATTTCTAAGAAGACATGTTCTGGCCTCACCAAGCCAGGAATTTGGTAGCAAGTCATGGGGTAGGAAAGAAAGCAAGAGCCCAAAAGTGGAGGGTACTGAACTGGGAAGGCAAAAAGCCTGGCCCTGGCCCTGACTCGGTCATGCGCCATGTGGCCTTGGGCAAGTTATGTCCCTCCTCTGTGTGCCCTTGTATAAAATGGGATGCGGGTCTCAGAAGACTCTTCCCATACTGTGGCCTGTAGTTTGGAGGATGCTGCTTGGCAACCCTCAGCCTGCAGCCCCAGCCAGCCTTGCAGGGGTGGGAAGTGCAGGCAGAGCAGGCTGGGGTCACTGGGGAGGGCTGCATGGAGGGCTGTGGCTGTCCCTCCTTACACTGGGGCAGCCCTAAGCCTGCCTCTTCCCTGAGCTCTGAAGTTTCTTGGCTTCTCAGAGTCCCAGGCCAACTGCTAGAGACCGAGGTCTCCGCCCTGGTCCCGAAACGGAGAAGTGCACCAGCACAGGAGAGGGGGATTAAGCGGCATCAGCGGGATGGGTCAAGCTGCCCTCGCCCGGCCCAGCCGGCGTCCGCCGCTAGAAACTGCAGCCTGGCGGCGAGGGGGGAGGGAAAGAGGCGGGGAAAACGGGCTGGGCCCCAGAGAGCTGCAAGGGAGGGAAAATTGAACGTGCAAGGGACCGAGATGACAGGTGGCACCAGCCCGGCGGCGCTCTCTTGGCGTGATCCCCCCGCCAGCCTGACGAAGCCCCAGGAGGGAAGTGAGAGACGGTGGCAGAGGGCGCCAGGTTTTCGGGAGCTGCCGCCGTCCGGCTGGGCCGGGCGTCCTAACTTTCGGATGATGTTGGAATGTGTAGCCCAGCCCAGAGGGGTCCAGGCAACTTGGCCCCTGCGGGCGCCGTAGGCTCAGCTCAGAAACCCCCTGCCACGAGTGTCCCCAGGAGGCGCGTCCCGGGAGCCCCCTCTCGGCGCTTACCTGGGCTTCACAGGCCGGGCGCGGCGCGGGAAGTGGTGGTCCTAGCCGGCTCTGGGCACCTGCTCCCCATGGGCTGGCTCCGGGGCCTCCCGGCCGGCGGACAAGGACACGGTCTCCCGCTCTCCACTCAGCGCTCTCGCGCTCGCTCTCCCCCGGGACGGCGGGGGCGCTCTAGGACCGCAGGTTGGAGGGGTCGGACTCCGGGATCTGCAGGATGCGGCACACGGCGCGGATCGGCCGCACCAGCTTCTGGGCCGAGGCTGTGGGTTGCGCCATGGGACGCCGAGACTCCGTGCTGCGACGCGGGGAGGGCCGGGCCGGGGCTAAGGAGCGGGTGCCCCCGGAGGGAGAGACAAGCCGGGCCGGGGGGAACGTGCGCCCCGGGTCGGAGGTGGCCGAGTTGGGGGGAAAGGCCGAGGGGCCGGGGAAGGGGGTCGTGCCTGCAAGGGGGGCCGATCCCGGGACCCAAGAGTGGGGCACCAGCGAGGGCGCAGCACCGCGCAGCGCGGCTAATGGAGGGACAGCGCGGCAGGGAGCGCAGCAGGACCTCTGATCGCCATCGCCAGACGCGCAACTGAGAGTGGGGAAGCTGCTCCGCCGGTTTCCGCCTCCAGCACCCTGCGGGAAACAGGAGCCCGTGATTCGGCGGCCCCGCCTGGGCCTGCCCCCTCCCGGGCCCCGGGGGCTTCCGCCAACGCCCCGGCGATGCCACCGGCTGCGCACGGGGAGAATGGGCCCTTTGTTCCCCCCTCCCCCCCGCGGCACCCGGGCGCCTGCCGAGAGAGGCTCCCCTGGGGCAGTGTGCCAGCTTCCCAGCCGCCCCACCCTCCCGTGGGCCCGGCCTCGGAGCCTGGCAGGCGGGCAGCACCCCCACTATAGGTGCCAAGCCCGGGAACTGGAGCAAAGGGCGGGAGGGGCCGGTCGAGGCCATGGTGGGGCGGGGTGCCCCCCGGGGTGCTAGGGCGGGGCGCTGGGGAGAGAGCAGTGCCAGAGCTGGCAGGGGCAGTCAGGTTCTCACGGGTCAGTGATGGGCGCTCTGACCCACGCCAGCTGGGATGTGCCTGCTGGACCACTCGCTTTGGTTCACTCCAGCTCTGGCACGTGGGCACACCCCACCGGCGGGCACTGCCCTGCCTCGTCCTCGCCCGGACAAGCTGCTTCTCACCCCTACCCAACCCTAACCCCCTTGAAACCCCCTCCCATGGCCCAGGGGCATGGAGGGCCTTCCTTAAGAGCTCTGGGAGGGCCTGGGCTCTAGTCTGTGCCTGATCTAAGGACCTTGGTTTCACCAAGTGTTGCAGAGGTGATGGGACCAAATGAGCCTGGCCACTGCTAAAGCCCCGCATTGGGGGTTCTGTCCCATCCCAGGGTTCCTAGTGCTTCCAGGCCTGGGGCTGGAGGGGAGCCCATGGGAGTGGCTCCCTGCAGCGAGCAGAGTAGGAGAAAAAATGGGAAAACAGGGCACCCTCCACCCGAGGAAGCATCCCGGCTCCTCTGCGGGGGTGGTTCAGAGCACAGACACAAACAGACAGATTCAGACACACACAGACAGATTCAGACTCACACAGAAACCCACACGCCCAACGGGCACTTCCCTTCCCCTCAGGCACCCACCTCCCACCCTCAACACCCCTGCCTCCCTGCAGAAGCCACCCTCTGCCTGCCTCCTCCTAGCCTGGGATAGAGTGGCAGCCCCCCATTCACCCATCCCAGAGGAGGGATGGGGTTCTGGATGTCTCTAGCCTGTCCCAAGTCACACCACCATCCCTGAGGAGCCAAATCCTTCCTCCTGAGGGCCAGAGCCTTTCACTAGTTGAGGAGAAGAGGAAGGGTCCTGGGAAGGGGGCCTACAGGCATGCGCACGGTGGTACTACGTGGGCCACCCGAGCATGGATCCACCTAGCCCCTTGCATCCCCCAGAGCTCAGCTCTGTGGCAGGGCAGGCTGGTAGGGGTTGTTTACATGACTGAATTGTTAACACTGCTTTCCTCTCCCTACTCCCCTGGGGTGGCCAGACCTGAGTGTGCCCAGGGAGATGCGTGTAGAGGGTCCAGCAAGGCCTGGAATCCCCAGGCCCAGAGGCCTAGCCTCTTACCCCAGACTGGCTCTAGGGGTAAAGACAGGAGCCGGAGTGTGCCTGTGGGAGCATCCAGGGGAGATTCCTGTGGCTTGGGGCCTGGAAGTGGCTGGAGTGGATGCCTGGGCTGTCCAGAGCCCTGAAGGCCTGTTGCTATCACCCCAAAGGGGATGGGGACTGTCCCGGGGTGGGGGGTGGGAAGGCACGTCTCCCCCACCCCCTGTGGCCATGTCTGCTTTGTCAGGGCACAGTCCCTGGACTAGATCAGGGCTCTCAGGATGGGCTCCCAAAGTGACCCTGGGCTCATGGGAACCAGAGAAGGAGAAGGACCCTTGCCCAGCTCCCCTTCTAGCTGCAAAGCCCCAGCCATAGGCCCACAGAGTCCTTGTAGCCTAGCCGTTCTGTGCCTGAGGACGGAGCAGAGCTGAGGAGACACACAAAAGACACAAACACAGGAGGAAAGCCACACAGCGCATGGACACAATGCCAGACTAGTGGACAAAGGCAAGCTGACCAGCACCCCTGGCCACATGGGGCCCGGCCCCAGCCCAGCACCGACCCCTGGCGCACTGACACACACGCACACACTGACACACACTTGTACTGATAGGCACAGCAGCACTCACAAGCCGACTGCCCTCACGCTGTCCCCAGAGCCCCTTACCTGGGCAAGCACAGTGCCCTTCGGAGGAGCAGCCCCCTGCCCAGGGTAGGGCAGCAGGCGGGGGCGGGGGAAGGAGCCCCGGAGAGTCAGGCCAAGCTGCCACTAATCCGGGCGGGGAGAGGGGGGGCACCCACGTCAGAGCGGGGACTGCCGGGTGGAGGGCATCTGAGGACATCCCCTCCCACACACGCGGCCGTCTGGGCACCTAGCCCTGCTTCCCAGCCCCTCCATCCTTCAGACAGCTGAGGCTGGCCTCCCCCCACCCTACTCCCCACCCGTGTGGCCATGGGGGGTCGTGGGGGAGGGGGATTATGGAGCGAATTCTCCCAGGACCTAGGAGGAGGGGGGAGGGGAAGGGAAGTGTGGAGATGCTTTTGGAGCCAGAAGGAAGCTCTGCGGCAGATGCCAGCCCCCCTGCCCACCCACCCACAGCACTGACCTAATTCCTCTTCTCAGTGCATACCTCCCCAACACCCCTCCTCCATCCTCCCAACTTACCTCCCCTCCCCCACCAGCTGCCCACCCAAGCCTCCCACCATGCCTCACTCTGCCCTGGGCTCAGGACCCTGGTGCCTATCAACACCCACCTGGGATTTCTCCTGCAGTACGCATCATCCTCCTGCCCTGGGTTTTGCTCCTACCCGGATGCAGGGGCCTGGTCCTGAGGTGGGTGGGAGATGGACCCAAGCCTCAGTGCTCATCTTCTCAACCCCCTTGAGGATGGGGCAGGGCTTACCAGGACTCCCCAACTCAGGCTGGACCAGGACGGTGTGGGAACCAGAGGCCAGTCAGTTGGTAGTCAGGAACATAGTAGTGGGACCAGTGTCTGCCCAAGATCATAGGTGGCCCTGGATCAGTGATGGGGGCTAAAGAGACCAAGGGATGGTAGGAGGTGGTGGGGTGAGGGGAGGAGGAGGGAGGCAGGAATAAAGGGCCTTCCACATGCTGGGAGGAAATGGAGGAGTTTGGGGGAAGCAGACAAGGTGTGTGTGGAGGCCAAAGAGAGCCCAGGACCACACAAAGGGGTGCAGCTCTTGAGGGGCTGGCCATGCTGAACCTGCCTGGGCATGCTGGAGCATGCTGGCCTTCCTCTAGAGGCCTGCTGGACCAGGAGGCTGAAGGTGGGCCAGAAACCCCCTACAAATGGCGACCATGCTGGGGCAGAGGTGAAGTCTCAGTGGTTCTCAGAGGGGCAGGGCCAGCTCTGAGGGAAGCCCAGCTGACATCCAGTGCCCCAAGCCTCAGGATCACGTGTATGCTTGCCCAGAAATGCCCCAGAACTTGGAATTCTTGCTCCTTCGCCTCTGGCCGCAGTGTGTCTTGGAACCCATACAACTGCAGGCAGCCCTTCACCAGGCTGGTGCTCTAGACACCCTGCCATTTTGAAAGCTTTGCAGTGGGACCCAGGTGGTTCAGGGCACAAGGAAAGAAAGCAAAAGGCCATCCCCACCCCTGAGGGGCTTCTAGTCATTTAGGGCATTTGTTCTTTTACCAGCAAACACTCCTAGAGGCCTCTTAGGTATCAGGCCCCATGCTGGGCCCTGTGGGGTGACTGTCTGGGAGTCTGGCATAGTTAACAGATGATTACAAGATACTGAGTCTGCCCTGGGGAAGTCTGGGGAGCTTCCCGGAGGAAGTCAGAGAATGAGCAGGACTTCATCACTGAAGCACACACTTACGAAAGTATTTCACTTCTGTTAAACCACTGTTTGTTCCAGGCTGGGCTACCACAGTGAGTAAAATACAAGTCTGCTTTTTATGAAGTCACAGCACAGTGGGGGAGGAAATAGGACGTGCCCAGGGCAGAAACAATGCAGAGATACTGTGGTCTGGATGAGCCAACAAATCCAAGGGAGAGTTCACAGAGGGTATCCCAGGGAGGTGAAGTCTGAGTGCCACCAAGGCAGAGAGTTGGGTGGGGGAGGAAGAGCATGTCAGAGGGACAGCATGCTGGGCTGCGCAGAGCCATGATTATTGGGGAGGAGAACACAAAGCTTCTCTAGCTCCACCAAAGAGCTGGAGTGACACTGGTGCCCACTCTTAGTACCAATCCCAGGAACAAGGTGAGTGAAATCTTTCTCACCACCCCACAACTTCAGGCCTCACCCCACTCAACTTTCTTCTGCATTTTGTGTTTCGTTTTGTCCAATCATCATGCACTTGTCTTTTTTTGTGTCCCTTCATTTGGGTGTGTGGATTCTGCCATTCTGCCTCTACCAAGGCAACTCATGAGTAACTCCTGCATCAAGAGTCAGGACCCCTAACTCACAGGCAGCACAATGGTAGACAAGTTGCTGTAGCTCTCCAAGCCTCAGTTTTAAATCTGTAAAATGGGCATAGCCATTAGCTGATAAGCTTTGGCTTATCACCTCTGCAAAATATCCAGAGTGAGGTCAGGCACACAACCAATAATCCCTACTCTTCCCCTTGCCTCCCAGGCAAGAAACATCTCAGTTACTTAAAGACTGCATAATGATTAAGCACGTAGTGTCTGAAGCCAGACCACCTGGTTCAAAGTCCAGTTCTGCTGCTGACAAGCTGTGTGACCTTGGGCAAATCACTTGCCTTCTCTGTCCCTGCTTTCTTATTGTAAAATGGAGATTATAATAATAGCATATCCTTCCTAAGACTGTTATGAGGATTAAATTAATATATGTCAGGGACCTAGCACAGCATCTTCTGTGGGGCAGCCACTGTCAAGGTGCTGGTTATTACCACTCTTTGCACCCCTGCAGTATCAGCAACATGTCTGGTACTTGGTTAACACTCAGTAAAGATTTTTTTAAATGAATTAATGAGGAGATAACACCACAACGCAAAGAAAAGCCATGACAGGAAGCCACTGAGCACCGATATGTGAGGAACTAAATCACTCTGGCAGATTAAATGCCTCCCCCACCCCAAATAAAACCCGGATAATCCCCACACCAAGAGTTAATCCAGACTCTTTCAGGCCACTCCAGGTTAGCATACCATTTCCCCTCTTCTAGTCCCACACTCTCACCCACCTCTTTGCTTAATCAAAAGCAGGTGGGAGAGGGGAGCAGGTGGGCACTGTGGTGAGACCAGCACCCGAGAGCAGGGAGGGCAAAGTTGGCAGCAGCTGCCCCAGGGATTAGAGTAGGGGATGGACTGCAGCCAGCACAGGCAAAGAGCCTGGGTCTTAGGAGAGCAGAGGAGACTCCGGGGATGGGGCAGGCCAAGGACCAGTGACCACAAGCAGCAGGGAGGGCCACAGGAGGCCTGCCAGAGTTCCGCCAGGCCACAACAGGGTGAGGCTCTGGCCAGTCTCCCAGCCCCACCCACCTTGACCTGGAAGCTGGGGGCAGCCCAGATCCTGGCAGCTGCTGCCCTCTGCTGGCCGCTTCTCAGAGGTGCAATGCTCCCCATTGCTACCCAAGTCTACAGAATTTGAGGCCTCTAGTGCTTTGTGGAATCTCCCCAGTATCTCCAGGCCTGGTCTGAGCAATGTTCCAGCATCCCCATGGGACCAACATGCTGCCTGAGCCCCCTTACATCATACCTCCCCCTGGTTTCTCTACAATTGTACCCTCTTGCTAAGGCCCAATCTCTGCCTCCTCAGGACTGGTCCCTGGCCTGTGCTCTCAGAACTCCCTAGAGCTTTCATAACAGCACTCCTTGCATAGCAACTATGTGTTGATGGCGCTGTCTCCTCCAAAGGACTGGACTCCTTTAGGCCTCATCCTTCATGGGAACTGGCTATTTCATTGTGTGATTTGAGGAGTATGGACACAAATCAGGAGAAACAGAACTTTTGATATATTTATTTAACAAAATGTTCACAAACCTGACCTCATTCATCAACGAAAAACACACAGCCAGGACACACACACCAGGCCTTGGAAAAGGCTGTCAAGTACTTTGAAGGACAGGAAGGAATGGACAGAGCTGGGTGGACTTTTGGTTTCAATTTCAGGAGTTTAAGGTCCGGAAGGGGCTCTGATCCCACAATTGGGGAAGGTTGAGGTCTGAGAAAGGCAATAAATAGAACCCCAGGCCCAGGCTACTTTGGTACATTGTGGGTGCATCCCTGCATGTGGCCCTGGCCCTTAACCATCAGCAAGAGCCAGGAGGATTGGCGTCAAGGCAGCAGGCACAGGCAGGACAAACGTCCCTCCAAGTAGCCCCAGGCACCCTGCAGGGCACAAGGTAAGACTGGGCCAGGCGCTGAAGCCCCTAGCTGTCCATGTCAGAGGGTACAGTCTTTTTCCTCGTCCGAACCTTCAGGGAGCGTGAAGTACCCTGGGGGAGATACCAGGCGCTCTATGAGAGACGTGAGCTGGAGAGCTGGCAGGGCCCTCCTTCTCCCATGTCCTCCCCCACACTATCCTGTTCTCACAGCTGACCTCTCGCACTGGTGGCTTCCTCTTGACCACGCGTAGGCTCTGGCTGCGGCTCAGTGGCTTCTCTCGTGGCCGAGCTGGTGGCCGGGGGACTGCCTCAGTATCTGACCAACACTCATCCTCTGTGTCACTGTCCTGCATGCCTCCTGCACAGTACCCTGTGTGGAGGACAGGCTGGGGCAAAGCCAAAGACCTGGGGCCAGGCTTTCCTCTAGCTCTGAGGGAGCCACACTTGTATGGGGGATGCCATGCTCTCAGAATGGCTCAAGGTCCTCTGCCTACTCACCAATGGGTGGCCTCTGGCAGGGTATCTGGTCCTCCAGGTAGAGGGGGTCTTGGTAAGTGGGGGCAGGGGCATCGGGGATAGCACGCAGGTCCTGCATGGAGAAGCTCCGCAGCCTGCCAGCCAGCGCACCCTGACTCTGAGAGGGAGGGAGAAGCTATTAGGGGAAGGGGCTTCAGCAGGGAAGCTGCCCAGGGAAATCAATGGCCTGCCATAGCTAATCACTGCAACTGGGACTCAGCACTGAAAGCAACCCAGCAACCTTCTGACCACGTGCCTTTGTGGTACCAACAGGAAACCAAGACCAAGAGAGGGGGACCAACTGCTCATGCTCAGTGTCAGAGCCAGGAAGGTCTGCACTTCTAGCTCCATGCTCCTGCCAACACCTCCTCCTTCTCACCCCTGCTCCCAGCTACTATCTCTGGGCTCCCTGGCAGAGAAGCTGGACAGGCCCAAAATGCACTGGGAATGGGTAAAAGCTGGGGACCAGTGCACCTTGGTGGCAGCCTGCACAGCAGCTGAAGCGGCGATGTTGAGGCTCCGCTTTCCAAAGCTGAGCATGGTCTCATAGCTGCGCTCCTTGGCCTGCACGATGTATGCATCAATTTCCTGTAGACCCAGGGGAGGAAGAGGGCTCAGGCAGACAGCCAGAGTCCTTCTCCCTCTGAAGACCCTAAGAAGGCGTGATTGTCATGCCTCCTAGCCCACCCCCATCCAGTGCGCAGAAGCCACAGATCTGGGCCCAGAATACATGCCAAGGGCAGGGCTCCTCACTGCTCACCCACCCCACCATCCCCAAACCAAGTTCCAGCCTTAAAAGTCATCCATACACACCCCCATTTGATTAGCCCAGCAGATGAGGTAGGCTAAGCCCAGTCAAGGCCCTGCACCTTAGCAAAATTGGGATGAGCACCCAGGTCCAGGGCTCTTTTCCTCATGCCCACCCCAAGCCTCCCTCCCCACAACCCCCAGGGGTACCTTCTCATGGCGGGACAGGGATGGGTGGACAAACTTGCGGTAAAGCAAGCTGGCTCCCTTGGTGTAGGGCGAGAGCAGCCACAGTACAAAGGCCATCTTGATTTCATAGTAGAAAGGGAACCTGTCAGAACACAGGGCAGGGGGAAGGGGCAGCAAAGTGAACCAAGGAGACAGGGCAATGCAGGACCACCCCCACCCTGCAGCCTGCTGACCCCTGCACCCATACCAGGAGATGAAGATGTCTGTGACGATCTCTGCCGCCATGAAGAGTGCAAAGACAATCCAGTACATCATCCAGCGCACCTGCAGGGCAGAGCACACAGAGGTCAGTGCACAGCTTGCCAACTCTCATGCCCAGCTGGTCCAGCCCAGAGATTCCCAAGAACCTGTTCTGCTTCACTGCTGCATTCCCCCACTGTCTGGCTGGACAGGAGGCTCTGGGACACTGCTGCTCATTCCTGCGCCCACCACAATGGCTTCACCCATGAGCCCCTGCACAGACACTCCACCAGCCTGCCCTCCATGCACACCCACCTGAACAGGCCCTATCCTCCTCTTGCCCACTGCACTCAGGATGTGCCACCTGACCATGCCCTTGGGGGAGGTGGAGCCCAGCTCAGACCTTCCCCACCTCAGCAAGTTCTATTACACACCCCACTCCAAAACTCACATATTCACGAATGTTCTTGGTCTTCACAGCCTTATAGGAGGCATAAGCTGGATACAGCATCCCAAACACCAGCCTGGAAGAGAAGACATGGGGAGCATGAGGGGCACCATGCCCCCCATCCAGGGGGCTGCCTACCCCCACCGGGGTGCGAGGTGGCCGTGTCTGCCCTGTTTTTCCTGCTTAGCTTGCACAACCTGTGCCTTGAGTCAGTCCCTAGAGGCCACCACCCCATCCTGCTGTTTACAAACATCACAAGCCTGCCCAGGCCTGCACCAGTGGCCCATGGGTGCATGTGGAGAGCACAGGCACTCCACAAAGTGGGTGAGAGCACCACACCGTCCCCTTCCATGGGCATGCAATCAGGCCCAGGGCCACTAGGCCTGGCACTGCCTGGCTGCAGACAGAAATATTCCAGCTAGGTGTTGGGAGTACTCAGAGGTGAAGAGCAGGACTGAGTGAGGAGGGTGACACCAGGGTGGTGGTGAGTCATGTGACAGCTCAGATGAGAAGCAGGCACCTGCATTCTCCACCCACAACGTGCCATATTGCTTTGTGTTTGCCAAGGGGCTGCCGGCAGGCCTGTGGCCCTCCACCCTGTACATCTGTTTGCAGTGTTTGTGTGCACTTATGTGCGCGTGCGTAGAAGGGGTTCACTCAGCCAATGAGACCCGGGAATGGGGGACCCTAGGCGGCTACACCTACGACCCGCGTGGCATGCCCGTTAACCCTTGCGGAGAGTGTCGGGGCGGGGGGAAGCATAATGGGACTCAGAAAGTTCCCACCCCCACCAGACGTTCCCAGCTTCCACCCCAGGGGTGAGATGGCACCCCCGGACAGAAGGGGGGCTGAGGGCTGCCGTACTCACACCACAAGGCGACAGATCATCCAGGACACCATCCTGCCAGCCTTGGGGACGAGGGGAGAACCCCAGGAAGACGTCCAGAAGGACGTTCACGCCAGGGCTGGGATGGGGGAAAGATCCCTGAAGTGCAGAAACCGGAGGGGCGGTCCAGCTGCCTCCGGGCGGAGGCGGAGCTGCTGCCCCCTGACTCCTACTCCGCAGTTCCGGAAGCCTGGAAGATAGAAGGCCAGTGGACTGAGGGCCCCACCAAGGAGGAAGCCGCTTCGGGAGCGGATACTGGCAGGTGAGCGCCGCCGCGCCGTTCGGGCAGTTACGGCTCCGTCCCGCACTTCCTGCCGCGGAGAACCAAGCGTTCGACCCTCGCCGAGGCGCTGCTACCGGTCTCGCGCTTAGGTGGAGGTCCCGGCCTTGTTCGTACGGGTAGCCGGGGTACCAACGCGCCGGAGTACCCGCGCCCGCCTGCGGGGAGGAGTTTGCAACTCACTTGAAAGTTGCACGGAACTAGGTGCTGCCCAACCCCTGCGCTCCCGAGCGCTGCGCAGGCGCGGTGCGGCCTCGAGGGGGCGGGGCGAGGGCGCTGCTGGGCGGTCATAGGTTGGCCCCTTAAAGAGGCCAAGTGCGTGGGGTCCACCTTTCCTAGGGTGTGCCCGGCTGCCACTAAAAGGGGAGTGGGGAAGTGGGAGGAGAAGGAAGAAAATCCGTACTCCAGAGTTTTCGAGGCTCTTTAATGCTTCCCTCCAGCCTCAATATTCCCTCTGTAAAATGGGCGTGAGGTGAGTGGGGATCCCCGCCCCTCCGCAGGCTGTGGAGCAAGTTGGAAGGAAGTCCGGGTCTTACACCACTTAGTCTCCCAGATCAGTGAGCTTCTCAAGGACGCCGTTAAACAAGAGAGAAAGGAGGGAGTGGGGGAGAGCGAACCTGAGACTCGTCGTCCCCATAGGGGGCGGTAGGGGTTCACTTCTTCCCGTGACACCTCTCCAGAGCCCTCACACCTGGGCAAAGTGGTCGGGATGACTTGAGATTTGTGGATACCGCAACCCAGCTCCCAGCGGAGCCTTCTTCACCAGAAGTTTGAAATTCCATCTACTCTGAGTCAGGAACGCAGATATCCCTGGGATAGGTTGTATCCCTGTGACAACTCATTAATAATAGTGATTGCCCTTTTGTTATGTATTTTGGTACAAGGGTCCTAATCTTTACAAAGATCCTTTTTGCCATTTAGGAAATATCACGTCACCCTGTGGTATTTGCTGGCTATGGCTAAATGCTTGCCTTGATCAGTCTTCTGAGGGGTCTGCAGTGGCCAGCTGAGAGTGAGTGACCTTGGTGGGGGACATGGAACTGGAGAAGTTCTGCTGGGAGGGAGGCAGATACCTGAAAGAAGGAGGAGGCCCTAAAAAGAAAGCCAACTTTGCTGCTGCTGTGTGGGGTTTCATTCTTTGGGACATCTTCAGCTTACTGCCTCAGTTGCTCCCTCTGAAAATGTGGACAACAGTGTCTCCCACCACCCTGTGCTGGAGAAAGGGTGGAAGCAGAGCTGTTGGGGTACGTGGGGGTGGAAACACAGCTTTTTATTAGAGCCGTAGTTAAAACACCCACCACCTATTGAAAGGATGGAATAGGTAATGATGGGGCCAGGGAAAGCAGGCTTCTAGGGGATAAATAAACACACACGGCGATTATGCGGTCTTAATTATTATCATCAACTTTATTGGTATTGCTGGGTATGAGAGTTCACAGTGAAACCAGCCCACAGGAGAAACTTCCCCCAAGCCCCAGTCTCCTCCCTTCCTAACCACCCACACACATGCACCCAGCCCCCCGAACACAGTGTGGGAACCAGAAATGCCAACAGCTGAGGATCCCCTAGGAAAGTCCAACCACCATCCATCTCTAGGCACAGATCCTGTTCTCTAGGTGAAAAGTGTCCTGAGTCTTCTGGAAGGAGTAAGAGTGTGACTGAATAGGGACCAGCTCAGGGAGGAATAGGGAGTTGTAGGAGAGGAAAGGGGGTGACTGCACATATAAACCTTAGGTCCTTGCTGCGTGCTGCAGAACTAACTGCCCCTCCCTACTGCTGCCCTCTGGAGCCACACACCTGGCCCCAGGATCACAGGCCTTTCTCTAATCCTGTTCCCCAGGAAGGGTTCTCCTGTGCCCACCCTAAGCCCACAGCTGGGATGTTCTCACATGGAGACCCCTGGTCCCAATGCCTCTGCTTGGGAAATCTAAGGGACAGGCTGTCTGAGGTCTGCTGTTCAGAACAGCAGGCTTAGCATGGAGGAAGGTGAGTCTGGCAGCTGAGAAGTGTCCTCCTTGGCTTTGGCAGAGTAAGTGGACCTTGCCTCTTGCAGCCTTTGGTCTGGAGCTGTTGACACAGTCACCCAGTTACACTGGGTTGCTAAGCAGCTCTCTGGACACACAGAGAGCCTGAGGGCAGGTGACCAGATAGGCATACAGCAGAGAGCTGGACATTCAAAGACTAAGGGAATGAAACATCTCCCCCGCCTTGGAGGAGCTCCCTCCTAGGGGGAGCAGCTGTCAAAGTGATATTTGTCTTTCTTCTGGGCAACAGAGTGCCAACGTATCTGGAAAGGTCAACCCTGACAACTTCTCCCAGGCACATGACAGGGCGCATTTCCCACTTGCAAAAGCAGGACAGGCCTTCCCAGGATGATGGGGGTACCCTCTAGACCAGTGGTTCTCAACCTTCCTAATACCACAGCCCTTTAATATAGTTCCTGTGGGTTGCGACCCATACGTTGAGAACTTCTGCTCTAGACGAAGTGCACTTGAACGTGGCTTGAGGAGAGGGAAACACAGATGAGTCGCCTATTGTGAGAAGTGGTCAAGGCCAGTTGGCTGGTAGCTAAGGCTAGGTAAGATATAGGGCATAACGCCTCTGAGACCAAGAGTGGGTAAGAAACCCCCATCCATAGACAGCAGTTCTCCCCAAAGATTAACCTTCTCCTCTTGCACCAAACACCCTTCTCTGAACCACCTCTATCTGTATATCCTATATTCCTATAGACCAATATAATAATTATATGCCAGCCAGGCCTGGTGGCTCATGACTGTAATCCTAGCACTCTGGCAGCCCAAAGTGGATGGATTGCTTGAGTTCAGAAGTTCAAGACCTGCCCGAGCAAGAGCAAGACCCCTGTCTCTACTAAACATAGGAAAACTAGCCGAGCATGTGGCAAGTGCCTATAGTCCCAGCTACTCAGGAGGCTGAGGCAAGAGGACTGCTCAAGCCCTAGAGTTTAAGGTTGCTGTGAGCTACAGCACTCTGCCCAGGGTGATAGAGTGAGACTCTGTCTCAAAAAAACAATTATATGCCAGACACTATTCTAAGGGCCTTACATGTATTAACATATATTTAATGTGTTTAATCTCATGACAACCCTACTAGGTAGGTATCTTGATGATACCCATTTTACAGATGAGGAAAACTGAGACGTAAATGAGCTAAGTAACTCAGTTGAATGTTACTAGATGGTTTCACCCAGCTAATAAGCTGGCGGAAGCAGAATTCCAAAAAATGAGTTTTGTTCCTTTACAAGAGAAGCTGAGGCTCAAGGAAATTAGTTGACTCGCTTGAAATCTCACACCAAGTGAAGGCACTGTGTTCAAATTCACACCCATGTTATCTACACTCCAGAGCCCAGTGTGTGTTCTACTGTACACCACTGGCCCCCATTCTCTCTTTTTCTGGCTGTCTGTGAACTTCCAGAGCTCCCAGGCCATGCTGAGCTCACAAGTGCTACCTGCAGGGCAGAGAAATGAAGGGCATTTGTGACATGTGAGAGCTGAAAGGAGCCCTAGAAAGGAAAAGTCCCCAGAGAAGGGACATGACCTGTCCAGGGTCACACAACCAGCACCCCTGTTTCCATCTTCCGTCCCTTACACTGTCACTGACCCTCACAAGGCTGCAAAAGGATTCCATTTACTCAAGTCCATGGGGGAGAAAGGCTGACAAGAAGAGGGGTCCCACAGTTCAACAACACTCCCCCCCTTTTTTAAGATAGGATCTCATTCTGTTGCCCAGGCTGGAGTGCTATGGCATCACATCATCATAGCTCACAGCAACTTCAAATTCTTGGGCTCAAGTGATCTTCTTGCCTTAGCCTCCCAAGTACCCAGGACTACAAGTGCTCATCATGACTCCCCGCTAATTTTTCTATTTTTACTAGAGCTGGGGTCTCACTCTTGCTCAGGCTGGTCTTGAACTCCTGAGCTCAAGTGATCCACCCACCTCAGCCTCCCAGAGTGCTAGGATTACAGGCATGAGGCACCGGGCCTGACCTAATACCCTATTTTGACATTCAGTGCTTGTGTGCTCTTCCCAAGGCCCTGTCACTCCTACTGACTGTCGCCATTGCTCTGCCCTGGGTCCCATGTCTGCCCCCTGCCTGCCCAACCCCCACCATGGGCTCTCCTGACTCCACTCTCAGTGACTGCCCACAGGGGCTTGGGTGTGTAAGGTGGGCCCAGGTCCCAGAAGACCTTAATGTCAGGCAGAGAGCCAAGGACTTGTTGTGAGAAGAACAAGGAATCAAGGCAGGGTCTGGAGCAGGGATGGCATGATGACATATGTTTTAGGAAAGATAGAGAAGTAGTAGGCAGGGAGGAGTGTGAGGGGCCCGGGATAAAAATGACGGGGGAGGGTTTGGACAAAGATCGTGCCAGGGAAAGGGCAAAACCAAAAAGTGCCCACTAAGAAAACCTTTGGGACGAAGAATAGAGAGGACTCAGTGGCTGATTTAAAATGGGTTGAAAAGGGACCAAGATGTTACCCAGGACTCCAAGGAACCTCACCCAGGGTGGAGGGTGGCAGCTATGACAGAGATTTGTCCAACTGAGGAGCTGGGGCCTGGTGGTAAGAGGACTTGTCTTTGGCCATGCACGTTGGAGTTGACCCAACAGAGGAACAAGTCTTAGTGGGTCCCAAGACTGTAATCTACAGAAAGGAACACCTAGGCTGTGACTCAACTCCAGGTGGCAAAGACTTGTCACACTGGTCCAGCATCTGAGTTGTCATCACCATGAACTCCTGACCACAGCCCCAGCTGGTGGTGGGGGCACCCACTTCTCTGAGGAGGAAGAGGGTCTAGGTACCCCCCAGTAGGAAGCAGGGCAGACCCTAGCTGTGTTCTCAGTGAAAAACTCTGATGACACCTGAGAGCCGGCGATGGGGTGGGAACTTTTTATTTGAAGCTAGTGAATCACAGCATTGCCCCCCAGTGTCCTGGTGCCCTGCCACAAGGAGCGACACACAATCTGGGCACCCTTTGCACCAGCCTGGCGTCTCAGAGCAGTCCATGCCCAGCAGACAGCAGAGGGCAGTAGCAGTTCAGTTCCTGGGGTGCCTCCCACAGGCCCCTCACCCCATCCTCTGAAAGGCTGTGCTCCTGCAGAGCCAGGAGCCAAATATACCCCTGGCACCTTCGCAGATAGCTCAGACGCTTGCAGCTTCGCGTCACTTGAACTTGTCTAACTCTTATACCCACCCAAGGAGCCAGCACAGCTGAGAGGCCACATCCCAAAGATGGAGGAACCAGGGGATGGTCCCAGCCTGAGGATGCAACAGCTACAGAAAGAAAAGCGAAAAGGTTTTCAGCTGAGGGGGGCCTCAGGTCACCTGGGATTCAGGGCAATGAAGGAAACTCCACTGAGAACAGAGATGGCCAGCACTGGACAGCACCCAGGATCTGCTGGGGCTGTCATTATTATTGCCTTGGGCAGAGGGGTTTTGCCCCCAGGAGGCCATGTTGGCTCTCTGAGGCTGGCACCACTGTCCCCATCCTTATCAGCTGTGGGGTGAGTACACGGGGGTGAATGGAGGAGGGACAGGTACTGCGGCCCCTCTAAGCACAGAGGCAGGAGAACAGAGTGAGTCCCTCTATGTGCAGTGTACAGCAAGGGAGTATAGACAGATATGGAACTGAGTGTACCCGTCAGAGTCCACGAGTGTGTGCAGCAGGGGCAGGCAGGCGTGAGTGCACCCAGAACAGCCATGGGCTGCAGTGGGAAACATGAGCAGGTAAACAAATGCCCGGAGCACCGACAAGAGAGCCCGGAGGGTCAGAAGGAGACACTCAACAACAGGAGGGTCCAGTCCCTCCTCTTTCCAGTAGCCCACTGGCACCATGATATGCATGAGGCAGGGAGGCAGAGTGTAGGGAAGGCAGCAGAGCGAGGGAGCCTGCAGGCAGGATGGAGGACACAGGTGCTGAGGGTTCTGGGTGTGCCTTGCGTGTTTACAGGAGCTCATGCTGACTATAGAGACAGTAAGTGCCTCCCCTGGGCCAGCACATGGGGTATGCTGTGCCCACCGGGGGTGTGTGTGTACTCAAGGGCACAGGTGCAGGTTGGCCACATGTGTCTTCACACGGGCACATCTGCTGTTCATGAAGGCTCCTAGCCAGCCCCCAGAAGCCACCCTGAGGAGCCCAAAGGCTTTTGCATGCCCCTAGGCACTGAGATCCACCACCACGTGTCGGTATACCAGAGTCTGTCCCTTGAAGCTGGGGGCCAAGAGCAGCTGGGCGTCCCCAGCAGGCACATAGCAGAAGGCCCGTGGGGCCTGCACAGCCAGCTCCTGGAACCGTACAAACTTCTGTCGCCCCTCATCCCACTGGTAGATCTGGGTGAAGGAGAAGTCGCTGCCCAGGGCCAGGTAGCGGCGGCCGCCCACGAGGAAGGGTTGCAGGGCCAGAGAGCCCCGGGAGGGCAGGGCCTGCACCTCGGAGAAGCGGGTGCCCTCCCAGCGCAGGATCTTGGAGTCACCGATGTAACGGCTGAGGCACAGGTAGCTGTCACGACCAGCACGGAAGTGTTTCACAGCCTGGGCATCAGGCACCTGGGTCACCTCACCCTGGGCCACAAACTGCTTCTGGGTGCGACTCCACTGATAGATGACGGGTGCTTGGGAGCTGCTGGACACAATCAAGCGTGGTTTGCCCTCGCCGTCCACAAACTCGAGGTCGGTGTCGCGGTGCCAGGCGTGCAGGGCCTGGTGGGAGTAGAAGCCATTCTGGTGCCAGCGGTAGAGGCTGGTGGCACCTGCCTTGGAGCTGTCAGCCACGGCGAAGTACCAGTCGCCGTCAATGCGGAAGGCCTCTAGGTCATTGGGCTTGCGCACACGCTGCGGGTCGATGTCCTGCAGCTTGGTGAAGTGTGTGGTGTTGGGGTCCCAGTGGTAAATGTAAGAGCCACCAAACAGCTGAGCCACCACCACATACAGCTGACTGTCCACCACCATTGGCTTGCAGTGCACTGCTGAGGGGGCTGTGCCAGGATAGAGGCAGGTGGCGTCAGGCAGGCCTCTGTTCCCAACCTCTCCCACCCCCTTAAAGGAGATCAGATCCCTCCAAACTTGGGCCAGGACCAAGGCTTTCTCCTGTAATATCCCACCCCCACTAAAGTTCACCTACTAAGCACTTAATCCCTTCTCATTGTTTCACAGCTAATAATCAATTTTAGTATCACAATCACTCCACCCGTGCCCCCAGAGTTCAAATAAAGACTGACACTAAGCACAAAATAGGTGTCCCTAGATATCGACTAATTGCTTAACCATAATGTCAGCTATTAAATTCTTATGTGTAGACACTGTGCTAAGTGTAAAAATGTATTATCTCAATGAGGAATTAATCCTGCTGAAAAGGACCTTTTTGGGGAGGGTGGGGTGGGGCTGGGTTTGAACCCACCACCCTCCGTATATGGGGCTGGCACCCTACTCCTTAAGCCACAGGTGCTGCCCAAAAGGACCCTATTACTTTTCCCTTTCTTTCTTTCTTTCTTTCTTTCTTTCTTTCTTTCTTTCTTTCTTTCTTTCTTTCTTTTTTTTTTTGTTACTTTTCCATTTCACACAAAAAGAAACTGAGGTTCACAGAGAATAAGTAACTTTCCTGGAGCTACCCCACTGGTGAGTGGCCAGGCAGAGGAGGCAGGAAGAGTTTGAGTAGATTCTTAAGATCAAAATGATGATGTTTGCCTCGTGCTGCAGGAAAGCATATCCTCTCAAGAGTTTTTCTTTTTTTTTTTTTCTTTCTTGTTTTACTTTTTAATTTTGAGACAAGGGATCCCACATTGCTCTGTGCTAGAGGGCAGTGGTGTAATCATAGCTCACTGTGACCTTGAGCGTCTGGTATCAAGTGAACTTCCCACTCAGCCTTCCAAGTAGCTGAGACTACAGGTGCAAGCCACTATACCTGGCCTGGAGTTTTCTTTTGGGGAAAGTTATTTACACTGACTTTAAGGGCAATGTAAGTTTTCTGTTTCATCTTGTGTCAGTTCAATCCTTCTTTCTAAATCTATCTCTCCATCCTCCCCACTGCCACCCCATGTCCAGGCTCCAGCGTCCCTCCACTGGTCTGCTTTTGTGTCCTGCCTCATACCTAGCCTTTTCCCATGCTGGAAGCTTCCATGCTCTTCTCAAACCTTTTCAATGACCTGGCCTTCATCAACCACTGGTCTACCCACTCCTCCCACATTAAACCTCATGCTGTGTGTGATTTACACACACACACTCTCATGCTAAGGTGTTGCACATCTTGACTTTGTTCATGCCATTCCCTCTGCCAAAATACCCCCTTTTAAAAATTTCTAGCTAATCTCTCTCAGCCTTCAAGATTCAGCTCAAACTCAGTAGACATAAAACTGAGCTCAACAGCCAGTCCAAGGGGGGGGGGCACTCTGTTCTCCTCCTCCTCCAATTTCCCTGGCCCCACCTAGTTACTAAGCCAGGAACCTGGGTGTCATCTTTCCATCCTCCCTCACCCTTCATCCTTCAAGGTTCAGCTTAGGTGTCCCCTCCCCAGGAAGCCTTCTCATTGCCCAGGGTAGGCATCGTCTTTGTGCTGCTAGAGCATAATATTCATATCTTCCTCTTAACACCTACCTCTGTGTGGATGTTACCTGCGTATGTAATTGACCGCCCCTCAAAGACAGGAAAGTTCTTGGGGGTAGAGACCATATCTCATCTATCTCCCTACTTACGGGAACTCTAGTAGAGTTGAATGATGGAACCAGCCAGGGCCAGCACTGTCAGGTCGGGCACAGGTACCTGGGATTCTATCATAGTCTCGGAGCTGCCGTTCAACATAGTCCCACTTGAGGACAGTGCAGGCACTGACACCTGGCTGGGCCAGAGCCAGGTAGAGGTCACTGGAGTAAAGGAAGGGCTCAGCTGACACTGCTGGGAAGGGCAGGGTCTGGTACAGCACAAAATCTGCAGGGGCGAGAGGTGTGCGGGGCCTGCGTTACTCGGGTCCAGAAGGAGAAGGGAAGAACTTGTTGGGTGATGGTGGTTGCCTGACACTGAGGCTCAGTGATGCAGGGCAGGGTGGCGGATTCAAGTAGCTTCACAGAAAGCTGGGCATCTCCTACCCGTGGTAATGCAGTCAAACTCCCTCAGTGGCAGGTCCTGCACCTTGTGTTCCTGGAAGCGGGGTGGGCTGGCGCAGTAGATGGGCGCCACTGTGGTGTTGGTGTGTGCCAGCCACTCCACCAGCCACTTCACCTTGCAGTCGCAGTTGAGGGAGTTGCCCCGCAGATCCCTGGATCATAAAGGCAGCAGAGAGGGGCACAGAGAGGGGCAGGCTCTCAGGGCTATGCCCACCCAGCCTCTCTAGGTTTCCAGAAGTAGATCCCGTTAAGGCTGCTGTGAGTCACTCACATGAATCTTTGTGCCAATTAAAGTTCCCCTCCGTGTGGACGCAGCCCTGCAGGCACAGGGTTGGCCAGCACAGTGTAGGCTCACCCGCTCACTTCTTTGGCCAGTTGCCTCTTGCAATGTACAGCCTGCACAGCTGTATGTTACATCCCTGTTCCTTCAAGCTTCCCCTAATCCAAGGCTTTTATTTTCTTGTGTCAATAATGATAAGTGATTGTGGCTACGTTATAGGACTTTAATGTAGAGCAAATCCAACATACATATCACAAGAATGAAAAAACAAGGATCCAACGTACTCAATACTAATACGAAGCCAGTAGATAAATTAATACACACCCACACACACACGAGAAAAACTCAATTCAATTCAAGTTGGGGGGGATTGGTGTGCTCCCAGCTAATGGGCACAATGTAAGGGTATATGATGGCATACTTCCTGAGTGCGGGGCACAGCTACAACAGGGACTTTACCTAACAAATGCAAACATCGTAACCAAATTGTTGGTACCCTCATATTAATCTAAAATTTTAAAAATAATATTTATAATGCAAAAAACAAACCGATACAGTTTAAAAGCACATTTTTTTTTTTTTGAGACAGAGCCTCAAGCTGTCCCCCTGGGTAGAGTGCCGTGGCATTACAGCTCACAGCAACCTCCAACTCCTGGGCTCAAGTGAGTCTCCTGCCTCCGCCTCCCAAGTAGCTGGGACCACAGGCGCCCGCCACAACGCCCAGCTATTTTTTGGTTGCAGCCGTCATTGTTGTTTGGCGGGTCCGGGCTGGGGATTCGAACCTGCTACCTTAGGTGTACGTGGCTGGCGCCTTAGCCGGTTGAGCTATAGGCGCCGAGCCAAAAGCACATATTTTTAAGACATACACACATCTCAGGTGTATTTTCAGAGGAACCCCAATTTGGAAGGCTACTGTCTCCAATTTTGCCTTTTCAGAGACCCCCTCAAGCCCAATCCCCCCAGCCTCCCAAGAGCTTGTGATCTCCCAGGTTCTGACTCCCATGCCCCCCGCCCTGAGATGCACCCTCTGTGGCACAGTTGGGAGAGGGAGGACTCAGTCAGGTCTTACAAGTCATTCAGGATGTCCAGGGGCCGAAAGATGTCTCTGGGCAGTGTCTGGAGGTTATTATTGGCCAGCGAACTGCAAGAGAGAGCCCTGGGTCACCCAAAGAGTGTGACCAAGGCCAAAGGCCACAGGAGATGCTGGGCTTCAGTCCAGGGTGTGTATGAGTGTGATATACTCACAGGTGTGTCAGGGACTTGAGGCCTCGGAAAGTGTACTTGGATAGTGCCCAGATGTCATTGTTCTCAATGAAGCTGGAAGAAACAAGAACTTGCCTCAGCTATGGCTTGGCAGTCCTAGAACCCCAAGCAGCAACTTTCCTACACCCCAGGCTAGATTCTAGCCCATAGCTCTGAGACAGGCCACAAAGAGCATCATCAAGTCTGTAGTGACAGGGCACCAGGCAGGGTAATGTAGGCAGAATGGGTGAAGCAGAATCTTCTTCTGCTCAGATTCTGCAATCAGAGGACTTGAGGGCTCTCACCTCCCAGCCCCCCTTCCAGTAATCTCATCACCCCCAGCCCCTTCACCCCCAGGCCTGGGCTCCCTTTCCCTCCCACACACAGGTACTGCAGGTGTGACAGTCCTGTGAAGGCGTTGTCTCCAATCAGCGTGAACTTGTTGGAGTTGAGTAACCTGGGGAGACAAAGGAAAAATTAGAGCTCCTGGGACGTGCCCGCTGCCCCAACCCCAGCCCACTGCCTCAGCCCTGGGCTTCCCTGAGATCAGGTTGCATTGTAGCCACCCTTGGGGACCCCAGTGGAGAGGTGGGCAGTAAGACCAGGTAAAAGCCTATTCTGGCCCTAGAAGGTTCCAGAGTTCTGCTCATAATAATTTGTCCAAGGACAGAGTTCTCCTATTAAGCTGGCACCTGGCCCTACCCCATAGCATCTCCTCACCCTGTCCCATTCTAGCCCCTCATGGATAGCTGTCCCTCACCAAGAGCACTTAGCAGAATTCCAAACCCTTGGACCATCCCTCTCTTTCATGCTCAGCTCTTCAAACCTGATCTCTGGAGTCACCTGTCTCTAAGACGACTCCTTCATGTGCACCCTCTGGCACCAGCCCAGGCTACTGCACACAATTCCCTTGGGTCTCCAGAGGAGCCAAGTCCATCCCCCAAAGACCCCCTTTTGGCTTCTGTGCAATCCTAGTTCTCTTTGCCCAGTGCTGCCCCAGCTCCTCCCCACTCAAGGCTGCTCCGCCCCTTGTGGCACATCCTATTGGAGCAGAAGTAAAGGACACCTGCATCTTCATCTCCAGAGGCTGCCTCCATCCACTCCCTCTCCCCAGACCAGGATCTGTCCCCTGTGACCATCCCCCCAGCCCACCCTGCCCTTCCATGTGGCCCATCCATACAGGAACTGTAGCAATGGCAAGTGGGAAAATGCTCCATCCTGGATCTCTGAGAAGGCAGCATTCACCAGCGTCCTGCAGGGACAACCAAGTCAATGAGGCATCTGTAGGGCATCACTGTGCCGGGGCAGTGAGAGGTGGACAAGGCAGTGGCTTCTGTACTTGCCGTCTTGGAAACTCCCTGTTTCTTCAGCCTTGGGCCTCACCTGCATGTCTTTCCCTTCTCCCCCCAAATTCACCACCTCCTCAAGCTCCAGTGGCTCCCCTCTACTCCCCTCTCAGCCAAGAGAAGGTTCCATCACCCATCACTCGCAGCATTATCACCCAAACATCCACAATGTGCTGGGTGCTCTTGAGGGATAGGGCCCTGGGATGGAGGTGGGGACCCTGCATCCTGTTCCCACGGGCCTCACAGCCTCTCTGTGGTCCTGCAGGCAAGGGGGGCCCCAAGGCCAGCTGCTGCAAGTGACAGGCAGGCTGGGCTTAGGGCCAAGTGGCTGGTCAGTGGCAGGCGTGCACCCCGTGCCAGGATGCTGTGAAAGCATGGCTCACTTACCACCCCCTCCTCCCACACGAGGAGCCCTTCTGCCCTTGCAGTGACATCACAGGCAGGGGCCCACATGCTCATGTAAACAACCCCCACCCCCAGTCAGGAGCCCCTGCGCACAGTAGGTCTCATGAATGTTGATGGTGATGATTCATTCTTGCTCATAAACTCCTGCTTTCCCCAGCCATGGCGGCTGAACCAGCAGGACTGCAAGACTACCTGTCCCCTGATGCCTGCAGTGTCCAGCCCCAAGGACCCCCTGGAGTCCTCCTGGTTCCCGCACTCTGAAGAGCGCAAGCAGAGGCTTTCTATCCCCTGACATGTTCGTACCCTCCTTTCCCTCCCCACCCCCAAGGCCAGACCTGGCCACTCACAGGGAGATGACCTCCGAGGGTAGGCTCCTGGGCACTGCCTTAGAGTCCACGCAGAAGGCGGTGTCCCTGGTGCAGGAGCAGCTGGGCGGGCAGGGGGGCGTCTTGGGGGGCCTCTTGGCGCTGATTTGCAGCATTAGGCAGAAGCAGAGCGCAGATAGCGCCAGCAGCCAGGGGCCCCGCCTGGCCGGCAGCCTCGCCATGCCGCCTGCAAGCTCTCCCTCGCTGGCTGCCGCGGCCCGGGCCCCACCGCCCCTGTGGCTAAGCCACCCCGCGCACGCGGGCTGGCACCTTCGGGCCACCGGCAGCTGCTGCGGCAGCCAGGGGCCCGCCTGCCAGCCGCGCAGAGCTAGACTCCTCCTGCCCTCGGGCGCCCGCTGCGGTCCCTCCCTTGCTCGCTCCCGCGAGCCAGCTTGGGAGAGGCGCGCAGAGCGGGAGCCGGAGCCGCAGCCGGGGCGGCCGGGCTAGGCGGACTAGGACTGCGGCGCGGACGGCGGGGGCGCGCGCGGGGCGCGGGGGGGAGGCCCAGGCCTGGGAATAGCCAAGGGATGGAGTAACGGCTCTGTGCCCTAGTGGGAGGTCTCTGGAGCTATCTTGTGTGTCTGTGAGTGCATGTGTGGCGTGTACTTGCGCGTTCGGGTGTTGGGGCAGGCAGTGTGCACGGGGCACACCTGTCTCTGCAGGCACATGCACAAACTCCTTTGGGGGGCTTTTGGCATTATGGAGCCATGACCTCAGTGTACGGGTATGTCTTTGCACCGGGCCACACATCCCCTAAGCAGAGTGCACAGGCATGTTGCAGTGATATATGCACATCTACGTTGATAGCAAGGTTAGAAGTACAAGCATGTCTTCAGAGGAGTCTTGCATGCGTTTATATCTGAATTCAAATGTGTTTCCACCGGCAGCTGAACAGAATATGCCTTTGTGTTAACAGGAGCTGAAAAGGGAAATGCAACCGCGGGAGCTGGAGTGGGACGTGTGGAATTCTGGAACATTTCTCACTACACAGCCACAGCCTGTTGAAGCCAGGGAGCGCCTTGGGCCTCTTCCAGTCCAGCCCTTTAATAAACGAGGAAACTGAGTCTCCCCCAAAAGAGGACAGCTAAGTTTGATGTCACATCTACTGTGTTTTGTGTACTCTCTGTAGTTAGTCCTCTTAACCTTTTGGGGTTGAGGATGTGAATCCCCTTTTATAGGCCTGGGGTTCCAGAAGAAAAAAGTGGCAGAGGAAAGATTTAAGCCCACTCTGCCCAGCTTCAAAGTTCACACTCATCCTTCTACACTGGGGTCTTCCATATGTGGCCTGGGGTCCTTTGAGAACTTGTCAGGGAGTCTTTGGGGTCAAAATAATTTTCCTAACAACGTTGAGCCATTATTTGCCCTTTCATTTAAATGCATTCACACAAGTACCCTGGAATTGTCCAGAGGCTACCTGATGCATCTTCTACTAAGCCCCCAGTGAAAGAGATTTGCAAAAATGTAAATGATGTTCTTGGCTCTAATTTTCTTTTTTGCTCTGTAAAATGGATACTTTCATTTAGGAACATATGTGATTTATATCATAACATATAATAAGTTTCATATTGCTATTATAAATTAATAAAAATTGAAAAATATCTCAGTAAATATCAATAGCTATAGCCCACACAAACATAAGCCCTCTAGGGTCCTCAGTGCTTTTTGAGAGTGGTAAGAAGCCCCCAACTCAGAGTTTGTGAACTGTTACTGTGTACTATGTTGCTTCCCTGGGCAAGGGAGTGACTGCCCTAAGAGCCCTTGGCCACAGGGAACCTGGCGGTCAGGTACAGGAGTTCCCAGTCTTATGCTCTTTACAGATCAGTTGAGGGAAACAACTGTGTGGTAAGATGTTTCTCCAGCTGTCCCCAGCCTCTGCCAGCAGGGGATTCTCTAGTCTGAGCTTAAGTCCGTGTTCTCCTAGCCAGGGATGCCCCTGCCCTTTGATGTCCACTGGCCACTGCCCGTCCAGCTGCCTGCTGCCCTCCCATGCAAGCGTGCAGGGAGGGAAGCAGTGGGGGTGGAGAGAGTGGCTGGGGCAGCTGGGCAACTGTCCCCACTGGTCCCTGGCACGGCTCTGCCCAGCACACAAAGGGCAGAGTGAGTCTTGTCCCATTCCTTGCAGCTGAGGGGCTGGTAGGAAGGGGAGGAGAAGTACATAGAGAAGGAGGGGTGGCTAGCATGGGGCTGTCCATCCCCTATGGCTCTCAGAGGGGGGTAACCCAGAGGCAGACAGGAAGGGGGTCTGGTCATATTCTTAGCTAGTGAGAATCCTGGGGGATGAAGAAGAAGAAGATGATGATGACGACTGGATTTAACAACCGTGATGTCAATAGATCCTCACAACAGCGTGGGGAGGTGGACAGGCAGTACTAGATCCTTTTCACAGATGAACATACTGAAGCCTAGAAAAGCAGAATGACTCACTCTGGGTCCCAGAGCTGGCCAGCAGAAGCATCAAGCCCTCCACATGTCTAAGAAATGAACTAGCCCCCTCATGTTGGTGACAGAGTCTTATCACTGAATATAATTAGATGTTGGCTGTGTGCACGCTCTTTGCCTGGTGGCAGGTTCAGAGACTGGAGAAAGCACACTCCCTTCCTTCCCAGGATCCTTAGTCTGGCTGAGAAGACAGGGCAACAAAAAGTACCATCCCAGTTAACTAAAAGGCAGGTGAAGATGCTACAGCGAGGAGGAGAATTTCAGAGGCAGGAAGGCACCATGGGCTGGACCCTTGGCCTGCTAGGGGGCAGGTGGTAGCACTCAGAGAGTTAGAGAAGCATTGGAGTGGGCTTTTCAGGAGTCAGAAATGGCTTAAGTATAGGTGGCAGAGGGCTGGGTATGCCCAGCTAAAGAGCCCTCTCTCCTTCCTTCACCAAAGACCCCCACAACCTCTACCAGCTCACCATGAGCATCTGAACTTCACTTATGGAACTTGAAGGCTTCCTCCCCCAGCCCCTAAACAGACAAAAACAAGCTTAAGAAGCCATAAAGCCTATGAGGACTACTCCCTGAGGGAGGCAGGCAGGGAGACCAAGGGCCTGAGAGAGCAGAGGCTTCTTTTGAGGAAAGGGGATGTCTTTCCCAGCGATGGTAAGTGATGATGGTAAGCCTTGCCCACAGCACCTACTCAGAGCAAGCCCCATGGCTGGGCAATGCGGCCTCCTGAGATGCCCGCAGGGACCCCGAGATGCCCACAGTTCTTGGCTCTCCCGCTGGCCCGTGGCCTGTCTGGCTCAGACCCAGTGCGTGTGAGTCAGCCAATCAATCCCAGTGTTGCCAGGACAACAGGGACAGGAGTGGGGGCCCTAGGGGTGGGCACTGCAGGCAGCTGTCTCCTACATCTGGCACCTACACACAGCTGAGGCTGAGCTGAGAGGACACTTCTCCCTGTCTCCCCCCAACAGCCCATACCCCCTCCTCTTCTGTCACTGTCCTGGGACACTCTCTCATTTCTAGAGGCTTAGGCAAATATTTAAAGGGCAGCTGGGGGCCCTAAGGAGGGCTGTGGGAGCAAATACTTCCTTCCCTCTCTTCTCCTCTGCCCTTTTCAGGGGCTCTCAGTTCAGATGCCATGCTGTTGTGCAACCTTGAAGCAGGAGAGAGTGTCCTTGTGGGGACAGGAGAGCCTGCAAGGGCTGGAGAGTGGGGGGCCAGCTCATGATCAAAGGTCAGGGCCCAGGTGGGAGTGAGCCTATGGCCAGGGACAGGAACTGGGTGGCTTTTTAGGGAGCTAGGCCCAGAACGGATTCTGAATGACACAGCAAGTGAAGGGGGCCTGAGGGAAAGGGTAAGGCAGCCCAAGTTACTGGCAGATCTGATTTCACACAGTACTCAACTGAGATGGTTTTGGGGAAAGCGAGAAGGGAGACAACAAAAGCCCAAAAAGCACATCAAGTTTGGGCGAGTAGCCTCTCAGGGCAAATGTAGGGTGGGAGGGTATAAAAGGCAGAGAGCAGAGGGGTGGGGTGTTGAACCTTTGGGTAAGCGGGCTATTCAAGGGCAGGAAGATTGGGAACCTGCCAGGGACCACACCCAGCCCTGTGCAAGGCTGTCTGGGAACAAGAAAGCAGCGTCAGGCATGGAATCTGCCATCAGAAGCCTTCAGCTTACAAACAAGTCCAGAGCAGAACATGAAACAACACTCATGAGTAAGAGTTTACCACCAATGGGGACAGAGTTTTCAGAATTAGGAAAAGAATGACCAGGGGCAATTTTGAGGTTGGTACCAGATGTGTGGGAGGTGGTGAGGCCAGGTAATATGTGCTTGATGGGGGAATCTGGCCCTCCCCAGGAAATACAAACTTATGAGCTCCTCAGAATGAGGTCAAAGTACCTCTTGCCTTCAGCTGAGCCTGCTCTGGGCCCAACGGCTTTGCCCCCTAGCCTACCTCCTTGAACTCATCCTATGTTTGGGAGAAATTCTGCTAGGAAATGTGATGGCCAGACCCTTGGCTGTCTGAGAAGTTCAGCCTGGAAAGAGGACAAGGAAAGCCACAGGGCCACAGGGCCAGGTGCCAGCAAGGAAGGCAGGCACACCAGGAAGACACCTACAGTGAGAGGTGCAGATGGCCCAAGGGCAAGTTTGCTCAACTCACCCACATTCACTCTTGCTGGGGCCAAGAGGACTCATGTGCAGGGGCCAAGGGCCCTTCGGGGCTCTTGCAGCTGGCTTATCAGGGCCATGCCTCTGGAGGGCCAGGAACAAACAGGCTTCAAAGTCAAGGGCTTGGCTGGCAGACAGGGGCCCCAGTCCTTCATCTCTCTTCCCTCTCCCTACAGACACATATAAGATCCTGGTCACACCTGGGAGAAGAGGAGAGGATAGGAGAGCGCCTGCAGCAGGATGGACATGGGCAGCAAAGAGGTCTTGATGGAGAGCCCACCGGTGAGCGTGGACTTGTGTGTGTGAGTGGGTGTGTGTGTTGGGGGAAGGGAGTTCTGCCTTTCTCATCCTACCTGGCCTCTTTCCTTGTCCAGATTCATGTACTCATCTAACCTAGAACTGTGTTTATTTAGCATGGGACACCAAGACCACTAAGACAGAGTCACTAAGGGGCTGAGAGCCAACCCCAGGGATCTCAGGATATAGAAAGCCCTGAGTAAGAAGTCACTAAACACTTGGGAGGTCACAGGGAGCTTCACAGAGAAAATGACATATGAGCTGGAGCCAGAAGAATAAGTAGGAGCTCAGCAGGTGGAGAAAGAGGAAGGCGTCCCAAGAGAAAAGGGCAGTTCTATAAAGGCACAGGAGTATGAGACAGCCTGGGTCATTTGAGGAACAGAGAGGGGCTGATCATAGCTGGGGTGCCAGGGATCTGGGAGAAACAGACAGACAGTCCCTCCAAACTAGACCTTGCTTCTAAGCATCCATGAGTTTGTTGGAATCCAAGCCATCTCCTTCAAGAAGCCATCTTGATCCCCCCAGCCCTCCTTGGCACATCCATAGCATTGGCTGTCCAGCATTGGGTGGGTGTGGGGTGTGGGTCCAGTTTATACCAGGAGAGGAGGGGACATCCTCTTGACATCATGCCTGTCTCCTTACCTGCCCCATATGTCAGGACTACTCTGCAGCTCCCCGGGGCCGGTTTGGCATCCCCTGCTGTCCTGTGCACCTCAAACGCCTTCTCATCGTGGTTGTGGTGGTGGTCCTGGTCGTTGTGGTGATTGTAGGAGCCCTGCTCATGGGTCTTCACATGAGTCAGAAACACACCGAGATGGTGAGATGGCCTGTTGTGGGGTGGGTTGGTAACGGGCATGGGATGTGCTAGACAGTGGGCCTGAGCTGGCTGGGCAGATAGGAAGCTGTCTGAGGAGGTGGGTGGGCGAGGAGGAGGCAAGTACATGGTTGGCAGGACAGAGGCAGGAACAGGGTGGCAACCTGGCCTGGGCTTCTCCACCTGGCCCTGGCCCACAGTGTGGCAGCTGGTTCCCTCCAGCACTTTAGCTCCTGGTTCCACTCAGCCTCCCTGAGATTTCAGGGAAGGGAGTGCATTTGAGCAGAGGACGGGGGTGGTGGTGGTGAGGAGTACCCAAGTCTGAGTGAAGAAAGAGGAAGGCCAGGCAGTTTGATCACCCTCCCCAGGTCCTAGAGATGAGCATTGGGGCACCAGAAGCCCAGCAACACCTGGCCCTGAGTGAGCATGCGGCTACCACTGCCACCTTCTCCATCGGCACCACTGGCCTTGTAGTGTATGACTACCAGCGGGTGGGTATGCCCAGATTGCCTGATCCTGGGGCTGAGCGACCAATGACTAGACTTTGCTAGAGCCATCTAGCTAGGCCACTTCATCCATCTCTCCCCCTCCCCCAGTCCTTTTGTACCCCCTGCTCCATAATTCCTGTGCCCAACCTAGAGGGAGTTCCCTGGATAGGGAGTGAGCCAGGCAGGCATCTCCCAAATGAATTCTATAATGTTCCATGGCCAGCTCCTGATCGCCTATAAGCCAGCCCCAGGAACCTGCTGCTACATCATGAAGATGGCTCCAGAGAGCATCCCTAGTCTTGAGGCTCTCACTAGAAAATTCCAGAGCTTCCAGGTGGGTATGTGGGTGAAAGGACTGGGCTGTCTCCCTCCCAGGCCTGTTGGGGGGAGTGTCTGAAATGATGGTTGTCACCTGTAGAGCTCTGCTCCTTGGGGGCTGCCAGGTGAGTGCCCCTCTACCCACCTGCACCAACCTTCCCTACCCAGACCTACCCATTGCTGAGCCCATCCTTGTGGGGGGCTTCTGACTCCAACACAGCCCCCTCTTTATTGATGAGGAAACTGAGGCCAAGAGAGGTTGTCTAACATGCCTGAGGTCGCACAATAAGAGCTGCAGGTGAGATAGAAACTCAGTTCCCAGACTCCAGATGAGGCGCTCTCTCCAGGCCAAACCTGCAGCACCCACCTCTAAGCTGAGCCAGGAGAAGGGGCATGACACAGACTCCGTGTCCTCGGGAGGAGACCTGGCTTTCCTGGGCATTGCTGTGAACACCCTGTGTGGCGAGGTGCCTCTCTACTACATCTAGGATTCTTCAGGTGAGCAGGGGTGAGACCACAAGGGCACCCTAAGCACAGTGCCACCTCTGCTGAATGAGCACTGGAGTATCCACTGAAGCCAAGTCATCTAGGAAGCCCAGGGGAGGGAAGCCCCACTCCCCAATACCGAACAATGTTCCTTTGCTTCACAGGGAGTTGGAACTCCCAAGGGGACCGGAGAACCCTCCCCCCTGCAAAGGCCCTTTTGCAGACAGCAAGGAAGTTGCTCTGCCCACACCACAGGGACTGGCCCGGGAGAAATGGGAGCTTGGAGGAGGATGGGAGCTTGGGGAGAGGATGGGAGTGAGCAGAGGTGGCTCCTATGGGCCAGGGAACTGCCACAAAAGAATAAAGCAACCTGATTGAAAAAAAGGTCGCACTTGTATTTTCCCGATACCCGTGAAGTCCTGCTGTTGGTGGGGGCCGGCTCAGGGAAGGGTAGGGTCCCGGAAAGGGTAGGAACGGACATTCCTCGGCTGTCCCAGAGCGCTGGGAGATTCCGTCCACCCCAGGCATGGGAGAGGGGACAGCGGGGAGCCTTCCGCGGGCTATCGGCGCCCTCCAGTGGTGTCAACAGAGGAGGGGGAGAGACTGCAAGATGGGAGACAGCGAGGGTCAAGAAGGGGAGAGACGGAGAGAGGCAGGCTGGGGGCCACGGTGGAACACCGAGGGACCTAGAAGCAGAGGCAACACACGCGACCTGACAGCGTTGTCCCGCCGCGAGGTGGGGGCACCCAGCAAGCCGCCGCTAGAGGGCCCCTCGCGGGAGCGCCGCCGGCCGGGCACACCAAGGGCCCGCGCCCCCTTCCCGGCCCGCGCCCCGCGCCCCCTCCCCGGCCCGCGCGACTCCTCTGCGTCCCCGCCTCGGCTGGCGCGCCGCCCGGCGCGGCTCAGCACAGTCCCGGCCCCGAGGGGGGCCGAGCTCGAGCGAAAACCCGCCCTCCAGCGAGCTCATTTCCCTAAAAAGGGGGGGGGAGAGGGAGGGACGGAGGGCGAGAAAGAAAGAAAGAGAAAAAGAAGGGAAGGGAGAGGAGCCGGCCGCAGCGCAGGGCGAGCGCGGCGCGGGGGGCGGGAGACAGGAAGAAGGGAGGCGAGCGGAGGGAAGGGGAAGAGGTCGGAGCGCGGGAGGAGCGCGAGCCAGCCAGCGGGCCGAGGGCAGCGCCCTCCCTGCCTCCGGGCCTCCGCTTCCCCGTCGCCAGCTCCCGCGTCCGAGCGCGACCCGCCGCTACCGCCGCCGCCTGCGCCCGCCAGCATGCCCGGCGTGGCCCGCCTGCCGCTGCCGCTGCTGCTGTGGCTACTGCTGCTCCCGCGCCCCGGCCGGCCACTGGACTTGGCCGACTACACCTACGACCTGGGCGAAGAGGACGACCCGGAGCCTCTCAACTACAAAGACCCCTGCAAGGCGGGTAGGCACCCTGGGCCGGCGGGAGGCGCGGGCCGCTTAGGTTTGGGGTTGGGGGAGGACAGTCCAGTGTGGGAAGCCGGGAGCTGCCTGGTTGGCAATGCAGTGGGGAACAAAAGAACGAGGGGGAGAAGGAGGAGGGAGTTCGGGAGACTTTTCGGACTGAAGTTTTACTGCTGTTCGTGGAAGCTGCCACCGCTGCTTCTTATCTTCCCAGAAGATTCTTGGAGCAATCTCCTTGGGTGCCGAGAGAGACCAGCCGGCAAGAGGGGCTCTCCCTCTTGCAGGAAACTTTCTGGCCAAACTCTCCGTGTGTGTGAGAGAGTGTGTGTGTGTGTGTGTGTGTGTGTGTATGTGTTTTCTTTTCCCTTCTGCCCCATCTCTGCAGCCCCAGAACATTGGTGTTTTCTAGCCTCTCTGGCTGTCCTGGCTGCCCTGGGGCTATGCATCTATCTGGCCCTGCGCTGGGCGGTCTGCATCTCCAAGGAACTGATCTCCTGGGCCCCCAGCCCAGCTCAAGTGGAAGAAGAAAAATTTTCCAGTGATTCCCTGAGATCGTGCTCTCTGGGTATCCTGTGGTCCTGACTGGCGGCAGCAGCTTTCTGGGACCCAGGAGACAGCTGTCAAAGTCAGAGAAGCTAGCCCAGGAGGGAAACCACCTTTGCTCCTAAGTGTCAGGAGACTCCTGCCAAGGCCAAGTTGGAAATAGGGGAAAATACACAAAGAGAACTCAGATGTTGTATATCAGCTCTCTCACCCCGCTGACACCAGCGGCTAATTAGCTGAGGTCAGGGCCCTGGTGTGTGTGTTTGTGTGTATGTGTGTGTGTTCTTTGTCCCTTGAAGACCCTGTGTAACCCCTTTGCTTCTATTGGATCCAGAAGGGGCCTGCCCCAGGAGTGACCAGATGGCTAGGCACTCAGGCCTTTTGCCTGACCAGATGATCCTGAGCAGGCTGGCTGCCTGGGACACTCAGGGGACAAGATATCAGAACTTTTCCTCGACTTCCTGCTTCTAGTTTCAGACAGTGTCCAAACAGTCAGAATCAGAGCCAGTGGCGTGGTTTCTAGAACTGGACTGCTTGCCTGTTGGCCACCAGAGGTTGGAGGGCAGGTCTCTCTGGTCTTGGCCCTGGGAACCCCATTCAGGGACTTTCAACGTCCTCACACCCCTCCTGGGTAAATGAATCCTACCAGGAGACTTGTCCAGTGGACAGAGAGCACGCTGCATCTCTCTGCCCTTCCCCAGGCCAGAGTAAACCAGGACTCCCTGTCATCTTTCTCACCAGGTAGCTTGGTAGGGGCATGAGGCGGGGTGGACAGACCTTGGGCTTTGGAGGCAGGCAGACTTGGGTTTCAGTGCTGGCCCCACAGCTCATTAGCTATACCACCTTGGCAATGGTAATAATTGCCATGTCTGAACGTCAGCTTTCCCACCTTTAAAATGGACTGATAATACGTCTCTCCATAGAGTTGGTGCTAAGGATTAAATATGACAACATACTTAAAGCACTTATTAGCACTTGACACACAGTCAGCACTAAATAAATGTTGGCTCCTACCACTGTTTTCTTTTTTTTTTTTGCAGCTTTTGGCTGGGGCTGGGTTTGAACCCTCCACCTCCAGCATATGGGGGGCCAGTGCCTTACACCTTTGAGCCACAGGTACCGCTCCCTACCACTGTTTTCTGTGCCTCAGACTCTGGCTTTATTTATTTACTTTTCTAAGGGGGAATGGGGCTTGGTGGTGCCTCCTGGCTCTGTCCTAGTATCTCTTATCCATTCAACTGATCCACTGAATGCCTAAGATTGGCCAGGCCCTAGGCTGGATGTCCTGGGAGTTACAGAGATATGCAGGTCAGGCCCTTGCCCTCAAAGAGCTTATGGTCTAGGAAGGACCCAAGACATGGGGACACAACCAACAACAGAACAAGCTGTATGTGTCAAGGTGCCACATTAGAGGGTAGGGTGCTGAGAGCTCAAGGAGTCTCTTGCCACTCTGTGACATAGTGGTGGCAAAAATAAGCAGTCACAGTAGGCTGGGACAATTTGTGCAGTCTTCATAGAGGAGGTTGGGTTGGGGCAAGGCCCTAAAGAGTGAGTAGAAGTCATTCTGATGTCTTTCCCTTCTAGCTGGAAACAGGAATGATTTTTTAGAACAGCAAGAGGCGGAGGGCTCTACCCCCAGTCTCAGATTTCATGCTAGGGTGGGGCTGGCTGAGTTGGAGCTTCAAACTGAGGGCTCTGGAGAAAGCACTCCATTAGGGTGAAGCAAGGCTGATGGGGCACCAGGCCAGGCCTGGGGATGGTAGAGGGCTGGAGAGCCTGATGGGGCCAGGCTTCAAGTCACCCCTCCTTGGATGTGACTGATGCCCCTGGCCCACTGCGCAGATATGCCCTCCCAGGCACTCTCACCCATCACCCCACGTGTCCTAGCCACTCTCTCTGGGTGGCCCTTCTTGGCTGTCTTTGCTTTTTGTCCCCTGTGTTCCCCGACCCCCAGGTGTGAAAGATAATGGTGGCAGGTGTGTCAGTCCCTGCTTTCCTTCCACAGGGCTGCTGTATGCTGACCTCTGCTTGCTCAGCCCTCTCCAGCTCTCTCCTCTTCCTCCCCCTCCTCCTACCCCAAGGACCAGGAATGAAAGCTCCTTTGACTCCCCCAGCTTACCTGTGACCTCTCATGCTGTTCCAAGGGATAGCCCAGCCCTTTCATTTGAAGTCACCTCTGGCCATTATCATCCTAGTTATGGTTACTATTGTAGTAAGGGCAAAATTAAGAACTTTTCTGTCCTGGAGAGGTCCCTAAACCTTCTAGCCAAGACCAGAACCAGGGGCAGGAAGTCTATCTGGATTGTTTGTGTGCTCAGGGCTGGTCCCATCCAGCTCCCGCTAGCCCTTGCCCAGGGAAATTTTGAAGCAGCCCTGATTTCCTGTGGGTTGACATGCCAAGCCGGGAAGGGGCTCCTTCCATAATATTCCCAGCACCGTTTGCCTACCTCAGGTGACTTGCCAAGAACCCCCAGCAGAGATCCTGGAGGCAGGAATTGGGACACAGTTGATCACATAAGCAGAGAAGTCCATGGAGCCTGACCCTGAGTGACCCCAAGCCACCTGGATCTCAGCCGGCAGGGCAGCCCAGAGTCTTCAGGAGGTGAGGTGGGGCAGGGGCTCGCCAGCCTACATCCCCATCCCCCTCCTGGGGGCCTTGTGGCCCAGGTTTGGACTTCAGGGGGCTGCAGAAGAGTAGGATATGGGCTCAGGGTTGAGAAGCAATCACTTTTCTCACCAGACCGCATTCCCCCTCCAGACAGCTGGATGAGTCACCCCACCCACCTAGCCCCTGCTCCCTGAGTCACCTCTCATTTAGGTGCCCCAAGGGTGGAGGAAAAGACTTATACTCTCCCTGGGCTTCAGAGGCAGCAAATGAGATTCTCCAGGAAGAAGAGACTGTTAAGGATTTTAGTTTCTCCAGAGATTTTAGGAGAAGATCTTGGGAGAGGGGAAGGGCAGGGAAGGCACCACTTCTCAGGTCATTAAGACTGCCTAAGGATCCCCAGGGGACTCAGCTAATATCTCTCTCTCTCTCTCTTTCTTCCTCCCTCTCTTGCGTCCCTGTCCATTTCTAAGGATACCCTTCTCCTTTGGGGGTGTGGCCTGGGAAATGTGGCACACACCTGACATTATTTGTTCAAAAACACAATAAATT